CCTCTCAATGTCTTCCATTCCACCCCCTTCCAAGTTTCAAGCCACTGGGGTATGGTAGTGTCTTCACCCAGTCCCCACCGTGACTGTCTACACTGCATCTCTGTAGGCCCAGTGGTTCTTTCTTGGCAAGCTAACCTCACATACCACTTCAGGGCACATGGGAAAATTCAGACATTCTTCTGTACCTCTCTGGAGCTATCAGAAACTCAGGATGCTGCCTCTGAGCCTCTCATGCCTATCACAGCATAGCATCCACCCTGCAGCCAAGGCACTGTTAACTCTGAGGCTTGCTCTGTGAAGCTCACCATCTCCCTAGGACTTACATGGAGACAAGGCATGAGTTCTCCATTCTTGGAGCCCCAAAGTTTAAGTCTTTCTTCATCCCTGAGATTTGACCTGAACATGGATGTGATGAAGCCCCATCCCAGCCAATTCTCTATTCCCTTCCTATTTCAAATCATCTGAATTCTTATCTGGGACTAGAGAAGAAGGTGGACCAATCGTCATTTCCTGTATTTCTTACTTTGACTGGGCCCCATGACACTGGGCTGCTAAGAAGTCCTTCAAAGTTTATATAAAAGAGGAACAAATCTACTCACATATCCTGTTTTCTTTCCTTAGCCTAACTGCCTACTTTGGCCTGCTTGACATCTGTGGTGTGAAAGGTGGAGAAACAGTGATGGTTAATGCAGCGGCAGGAGCAGTGGGCTCTGTTGTGGGGCAGATAGCTAAGCTCAAGGTAAGTGTCTTCCTCCAGCAACATTTAGTCAAAACCCGCAGAGCACATTGGGAATGCAGTGTGAACACAGAGATCTTCCCTAGCCTCGAGCAGTTTACAATCAAGTCAGTGGATCTTGCTTGGAAGTTAGAGATTGGGAAGTAGGGGAGATGAGGAAAACATGTAGCAAAGATAAACTGAATGATATTTGATAACATTCAGGTATAAGTCAGGAGTGGCCTCCAGTTGGAGTGGGATTTTGTAAGCACTAATTATTTTTTTTTTACAAGACATTCTTTTGCCACAACTTAACCTCCTTTATTCATTACTGCATTGTGCAATAGAGGAGCTTGAAGCCAGGCATGATAGAGCACGCCTGTAATCCCAGAAACTCAGGAGGCTAAGAAGGAGGAGTTCAAAACCAGCCTCAGGAAAAGCAAGGCATTAAGCAACTCATTAAGACCCTGTCTCTAAGTAAAATACAAAATAGATCAGCCAAAACAAGAATCATTGCCCACATGTGGCTCCATTACAAAGTGTTGCACCAGCAAGAAACGGGCAGTGAGCACAGAGCAGTGGGGCTCTGTCCTGGGAACTAACTCCTGGAAGGCACTCAGGGCACAGAAATGTTGCCTCCTATTTTGGCAGGTCTCTGCTCAAGGGATCCAATCTGATGGTGGGTGTACAGGGCAATAGGCAGACTGGACCTGGTCAATATTGAAAATATTCCAAGCTGATCTAGTTTAGTTAATCTAGCTTTGCCAAAGGCTGGGATGTAGGACTCAGAACCTAGTTCCTAGGGGCTGAGGTGAATGGAAGGCTGATGAGCTCAGGGCTACACCCAACAGGCAAGGATGAGGGCTGGTCTTCAGTACTGATGGGGGTTTGGAATACAAATATAAGGCTGCCTTAGAGGTGGCAGAAATTATTTATTTAAAGAAGTAATTAAATAGGAATAGAGGTTGAATTTTATGAATGCCATTTCAGCATTTATCCCATTCATTTTGCAGTCACTGAGTTTTATTTTCTAACATGCAACCATTCTAGTATTTACAGAATAAGTTTTATTTAATATGGTATGTTATAGATTTACACTTTTGGAGTTGACTTGATAATTTTTTTGGTTTTGGTGCTGGGGGTTGAACCTAGGGCCTTGCGCATGCTAAGCACATGTTCTACCACTGAGCTACACCCCAGCTCTGATTCAATAATATTTTAAAGAGAATTTTCACATCTGTATTTACAGGTGAGTTTAAAGTTTTATTGTTCCCCACTCCCACCCCAAACTGAAGAGTGTCTAGCCAGACTTGGTTTATGTTGGACTTACAAAATAAATAAGGAGTATTTCCAATACTTCAAATTTCAGGTGTTTTATTAAAAATACATGGAATTTTTATTCCAGAAGTTTGATAGGATTTGTATTTAACCTTATGCATTTATATTCAACTCTTCTGTTCATTTTATGTAATTTTATCTTTTTACCCCATCTAAAAGTCTCAGTGTATTAACAGGTAAATTTAAGCCACTCATACAAATTGTCAAAACTGGAATGTTGGGCT